CCAAAATGTCTTCTCATGATTAACATTTTTTAATATGTTCGGGTGTATTGATATTTTTAACACATAACGAAGGTATATGTCGTTATCAATAAGCCCAATGCCTCCGTCTGATTGTTTTCATATTTGTAACAAGTTCTATCACCTCTACGTTCGTTTTAAAACACCTTTTGGCTGCAATCTCAACGACGAGTAAGTTGTTTGACAATTTAAGTCAGTCCTGTATTGGTTGCTAGCATCACAATTATGTTTTCAGAATCCTGATGAAGGCTCCATAGAGAATGCCGAAAGCTTGATTTTATCGTCAAAAGAGTCAACAAAGCCTAAAAGTTTGCCAATTTCCCAATTAACAATTAATTGTATTTTTTGCTCAACTGGTCGTTGGCAATGGCATTAACTACTGCTCATATATATATATATATATATATATATATATATATATACAGGGTGGCGCGTCGAAAACGAAACAGACGCATTTACTGGCAGCTCAGTTTTTTTTTGGAAAAACGCTCAGACCAGATTTTGTTTTCGAGGGGGACACAAGTTTGGCAAAAATCACGTTAAAACGTGCAGCCCCCTGGCCGGGGTGACATCAGTCCTAAAATCTTAAATGGAAAAGGGGTCGAGTGATATCTTATTTCAAATGTCTTTCAATTCCCTTTATAATGATAAAAAATTCATGAGCTTCAGTTCAGTAGTTTTGAAGATTTATTGATTTAAAGATTAAAGTAGACTTTAATAGGTACATCAGATTAGTTTGTACTACTTTCAGAAGAAAATTGACTAAAAGAATTTACTTAATAAGTAAATGCTTTTTTTCACTACGCCCATGGTTTGTTTATCATTTTGTTGTTGAAAATGGCTATTGGAGCTTTTTTTTGTGGCAAAAAAATTATTTTTTGCAGAAAGATAAGGAAATATCTCGTATTTATTTTAAATAGGAATTTAGTACATAGTTTGCGATTGATTTGATCAGACTTTGTTGCTAAAATAACGCTTTATTACATAAATAAACCATGGTATATTCCACAGCAGAAAGAGTTGAAATTATCGAAATATTTTTCGGAAATAATCAGTGCGCTAATAGAACAGCAGAAATATTTAATGAGCGACATGAGAACAGTAACGTGCATCAAAAATATGTTCTAGAACTTGTAGCTAAATTTCGGGAAACTGGGTCAGTCGCCAATAACAGACGCAACATTGAAAGTCCCGTAAGGAACGAAGCAATAGAGATGGGGGTTTTAGGGCAAGTTTATGTAGATCCTACGTTCAGTACCCGCAAATTGGAGACTGTGTGTGGTGTTAGTCGAAGTATTGTCCAACGGATTCTAGAGGCCCATAGTTTTCATCCGTATAAAATTCACCTGGTACAAGAACTTAATGAAGACGATTTTGATCGGCGATTACAATTTTGTGAAGATATGAGTGAACGAATTACAAACGATGAACATTTTCTATTCAACACTTGCTTTTCCGACGAATGATCCTTTTTCTTAAATGGCGTAGTAAATCGTCATAACTGCCGATATTGGTCCGATTCTAATCCCAGAATTTATCATGAGGTTCATACACAGCAACCACAAAAATTAAATGTTTGGGCTGGTATTTTTGGCGATCATTTTGTTGGTCCTTTTTTCTTACCTGGAAATTTGACCGGTGAAATGTATTTGGAATTACTGGAAGACGCCATAGATCCTGCATTAACAGCCTTAATTGAAAGTCAGAATGATCGGCGGTACATTGCGAATAGGTTGATGTTCCAACAGGATGGTGCCCCACCACATTACGCATTACGTGTTCGACAATATTCAGATCAGACGTTTTCAGATCGATGGATTGGTAGAAGAGCTGCCATTGAATGGCCCCCAAGACCGCCAGATTTATCATCTTTGGATTTCTTTATGTAGGGTCATTTAAAAATCAAAATCTATGCTACTCAGCCAACATCATTAGAAGACCTGCGACAAAGAATTGTGAATGAGTGCCTTCAAATTACTCCTCAAATATTGCAAAATGTGCGCAACATTTTGAGCAAAATCTTTATTATTGCATGGAGAGTCATGGTGGCCATTTTCAACATTTACTTGCCTAACGGGTCAGTTCATTCTTCATTTTTAAATTACTTTGTTGCCAAATGTATTGATCTCCACTAATGATGTATTAGTTTTATTTAAGCTTTAAATCAATAAATCTTCAAAACTACTAAACTGAAGTACATTAATTTTATATCATTATAAAGGGAATTGAGAGACCTTTAAAATAAGGTATCACTCGACCCCCATTTCCATTTAAGATTTTGGGGGTGGTGTCACCCCTACTTAGGGGGCTGCACGTGCTAACGTGATTTTTTGCCAAACTAGTATCCCCCTCGAAAACAAAATCGACGGGTCTAAGCGTTTTTCAAATAAAAACTGAGCTGCCAGTAAATGCGTCTGTTTCGTTTTCGATGCGCCACCCTGTATATATACGAGTATATATATATAAGGTGTTCCTTAACGATATGCGAATATTTAAGGGTGGCGTCTACATGAAAAATTAATGTTAGTTTGCTTTACAAACTATGGTCCAAAAATGTTTCCTTACAAAAACTCGGGGTGTTGAAGTTTTAGGAAAAAAATGGAAATTAATTAATATTTTCAGAACCGCTTCAGATATTTCACTGATATTTAGTACGTAGTGGAAGTTAATAAAGTTGCATGTATTTCAATGCAAAAATAATTTTTAGCTTTAACAGTGCCGTGCGTACGAGTATTGACTTGGTACGCCAATGGTTTTATGCCAAATAAAAATTATTTTTAAATTCCCCGTTCAATTCAAAACAAATGATCTCTCCTGAATTGTTTTCCTTCGATGCGACATTTTTGAGTAACGAAATAAAAACCGTTCTATTATCCGAGAAAATCAATGTAATAATTGAAGAATGCAATTTAACATTAAATATTTAGTTGCTCTGGAATATGTCACTGGCTTTTGACATCTGACAAGTCTCTGTTATTCAAATCTGTTCGCTGTAACATCTTTTTCATTTTTTAGTTTTTACAATCTTGTTAATAATTTTGAATTATTCAAATGCAGAAATGGCGGAAATGCGTATATGGCCTTGCGGACGGTAATGGTGAGCAAGCCAGACGGATTTATCACCAGAGATATCCCGATAGTGCTTTGCCAGATAGTTGAACCTTTTCTAATATTCATCGTCGTCTTGTTGAAACTGGTCCTGTCCGAAAAGGAACATCAGTAGGTAGACCTCTAAGTGTGAGATCACCTGAAATTGAGGAAGCACTGCTGCACGAAGTCGAAGTACATCCTGAAACGAGTACGAGGAACATCGCTAGACACTTAAATATCTGTCATTAAATTGTTTGGAGAATTTTAGTGGATTTTTTTTGTTATATACTTACCATATTTTAAGAGTACAGGTATCACTTCCCATTGATTTTCCGAGGCGTGTGATCTGTGTGATATCTTCAAAAAATTAGACAAAATCCACAATTTGAATCAATGATTCTGTTCACGGACGAAGCTAATTTTTCTCGAAATGCCATTCAGAAATTCCACAATAATCATTTGAGGACAGAAGAAAATCCCTATGCCGTAACCGAAACCCATTCCCAACACCAATTTTCGGTTAACGTATGGGCAGGAATTATTGGCAACCACTTTATTGGCCCATTCTTCTTGCCGCGACGACTTGACGGACAGACTTACCTCAATTTTCTCCAACAACAGTTGCCTTTGCTGCTTGCTGACGTTCCGTTGGTAATAAGAAACAATATGTGGTACATGCATGATGGTGCACCAGCGCATTTCAGTGTAGCGGTTCGTAATTATTTACAAACTGTTTCTCCAAATCGATGGATTGGCCGCGGTGGGCCCCAAGAATGGCCACCAAGGTCCCCAGACCTCAACAGTTTAGATTTCTTTTTGTGGGGCTAATCTAAGTCACTAGTGTATACACAAGTCCCATTAACACTGTAGAGGAATTAAGAGAAAGAATAGTTGCAGCTTGTGATACGAGTAGAATAAAAAACACCCCAGGGATATTTCAACTAGTGCGCAATTCCATGAGAAGGAGGTCGGAAGCATGCATACTAAGTGAAGGGGGCAATTTTCAACAATTTTTGTAATCATTCCGTTGGTTTTAATGTTATGTTTACGTTGTCAGTTGTTGTTGTTCATTACCCCTAAAGTGTTTAATTTTTCCAATTAAATTAATAATAATTTTGCAGGTAAGACAATAGAACGGTTTATTTTTTACTCAAAAATGGCGCATCGAAGGAGAACAATTCAAGAGGGATCATTTGTTTCAAATTGAACGAGGAATTCAAAAATAATTTTTATTTGTCAAAAAAGCATTGGCATGCCATTTTTTTCTTAAAAAAAAGTGTTGAAGTCAATACCCGTATGCACGCCACTGTTAAAGCTAAACATTATTTTTGCATTGAAAAATTATTTAAATTAACTTTCATTACGTACTGAATATGAGTGAAATATCTGAAGCGGTTCTGAAAATATTAATAAATTTCCATTTTTTTCCTAAAACTTCAACACCCCGAGTTTTTGTAAGGAAACATTTTTGGACCATAGTTTATAAAGCAAACTTCCATCAAAATCCGAGCGGTAGCTTACGAGTTATATGCGGGTCAAGGATTGGCACAGACGGATCGTCAGACACAGAGAGACCGACAGACACTAATGGTTCATTGAGTAATATTCTTTTATTAATTTTAATACTTATTTTCAGCATTCAAGTATTTTATTGTTCAGTGCTGTCTGTACAATTTCAGAGTACGATCAAAGCAACTCTGAATAAATGCTTTAAATAAAGCACGACGCCAAGTAGATTAATTCTTGAATTAAATTTGAAAATACCGCCGAGGTGGCCAAAACGTTAGTAAGCTCCCACTTCAGCATCAGTGCTTCCATTTAGGGGACAGCAGAAGATGGTAACTAGGATAGGATCGGTCAGGTAAATCAATGCTCAGATAATGAAACAAAGGGTTATCTATAACCTTGTGAAAATATCTGACTTCACATGAAGCATGTAATTTGATATTACATTCCAATCTTCCTTAACAATATCAGCAGTCTTTTCTCCTTCCATGTCAGGTGGACCGACAGTATGTGCAGCTACCGTCGTAGGAAATATGCTGACATCGACCACTCTCAGGTTTTTGATACCATGCACCCTGAGTCTTGGGTCCACGACCGCCTCTTTATCTGTCTCTGGTCCCATTTTGCAAGCAGATTGCTGGTACCATACGGATGACGGCATGGATCTGATTGCACACTCCCAGTACACATCAGAGTCGAAAGCTAAATTCTCGCAACCTAGAGCAAATATAAGAACTTCACCACTAAACCATAACATGTGTTCTGATCTGTGATATTCCGTAAAAATGCTGTTATAACTGCATGATCTGTTCGTAACGATTTGTCTTAATGTGTGTACCTACTTATCTACGAATTTTATTCTCTAAAGCATGTAAAAAACGAGCTTTTCTAAAAAGTAGTATCAATATCCCAAAGCTAGATTGATTCTACTGCTTCTTATTAGGGGTTTTCGTCAGGAGGCTCAGTCTTCGATATAAAAGTTATTTTATTAAACGCTAGATCAATCTGTGCGTGTATCATTATAACAAGAAACAGTTTTCAATCAGAATCAGAATGTGGTACGATAGTATTTTTTGTAAAAACTAGTCGCATAAAATGTTTCGCTGAACATACATTTTTTTCATACCGTATCATGAAAAGAATATAAGTTCCGGACTCATGGTCATATGAAATTCGCATTCAGGAAACCCTTTATAGGAGGATGCTGATTTTTCGATGTTACTGATATTAAGCCAAATGCAACTCCGGAATCTAATTATTCTTCAGTCCGGTCCACTAGAACACATATCGTAGAATGCGATTCGGTAACGAAGCGGGCCACATGTGAAAAGTAACATGGATCCCCATCCTCAGACAATGTTTACCTTTTTTGCGTGTTCACAATGTCGTCAAATAGGAAACGTGTGTTTATAATTAAAGAAAGGTTGAAGAAATTAGAGGAAATGCTACAGGACGTCTCTACAAGTAAGTACGATGTTTAATATTGTTTTGTGAATCAGGGAAACGTGGTTATGGTGGAAATGGCCTTAGGCGTCATCTATATCGACATGATGAATTTGTTTTTAGATGATTTGTAGGCGAAATTTAGCAATCTACTACTTAAAGGTTAATTTCTGGTAGAAAACGGCCTTTCTCGCCGTTTGATTCATCATAATAAAAATATTTTATTATCTAAAATGGCTTGACTCGCCACACATATGTATATGTAAGATAAAGAATGCACACGTCGTATGGTAAAAAAAAATAACAGACTTTATTGCAGGAACGAAGAGTGGTTACAAGTATTGAACAAAATCTGTCTGTGCCTCGATATAATTCTAATCTTTATAGGAAATATAACAGAGCTGTATCGAAAAAAAAAGTAAAAAGCAAATATTTCTTAATGGACTTGCTTGCCATACAATTCAATTTGTTGGAATAATGGGCATGTACCACATAGTTATGTTACCAACAGGATTCCATAACTCCTCCCGCCTACGAAAAGTTGGTCTCCAACTTAGAGAAAATTTAATTTACAGTTACAATATGGTTCCAAAGCTGTACCTAAGAGTCGCAAGAAAGGTTTTGCAACTTAGTATTAACTATTATTTCCAAATGATATTGGCAATAAGAAGGATTTAAAAAGCTAAAATTACTTTCAAGTAAAGGCAATGATAATTCAATCTGCTTGCAGTCTTTAATATCAATTGAAATATTAGTATTAATAGTATTTTAAGTGAATATGAGGACAATTTTCCAACATAGATGGCTTACATGTGCCTGTTTAGTAATTAAAAACATAAATGCGGATTGTTAGTTTGATTAAAGTAGAGTAAAATCAAATTACAAAGAAAAATTGCTTGGGATCTATATTAATTCATGCCTTATAATTAACGGATACAATTCAAAAACACTGTAAGTTTTTATGGTCAAGAAGAGGTACATGAATTACGAATATGATTCATTTCGCAAAGTTACAATTGATAGTTCGCAAAGATTCAGTATCTCAAAAGGGTGCATTGTTTCAAAATCTAACAGATGATCTTTATGGTATAAAGTTTGCAAATGTTCAATGAGGATATTTATTTCCCTATGATTTAATGAAAGAATGGATAGGACGCTCAAATGATTAATTTGAATTTAAACTTATTTGATGTGCGATTTGCTCGAAGAATTTCATTTGAAAAGCCATATTTTGTGTAACAGAAACTATGCTTTCTTGGATATTGATAGTATTGTGCTCAAAAGTGCCTTGCAAACCTTTACAGAAGAAAATAACTTTTTAATTCTGTAGATTCAGTGCGTGTTGATTTTCACGTAGTTTTGGATTGATTATATAATTTAAATTAATAAGGAATTGAGTTTTATGACGATTTTCGATTAATCTTGAATTTCCTAGCGGCAATTTGATTACAAGGAGATGCTTTGAGCAGAGGGTTCATCAGTAGCGCTCGAATTGGTAGGTATTGGACTGGTAGAGCTCTGTAAAGGATTTTTACGTTGAGGCTTGATTCGTCTCAGCATGTGTTTTCTATCTTTGATTAAAATTTGATTTCCTTGTTGTTTGAAAATAGTGTGTTTTTGATATTTTGGTTTGTCCTTAGTTTGTCTGATTGGGATTTTGATATAGATCGGAGATTTTAAAACGGGGATCTTACGCGTTTTTCGTTAATTTTGTTAGTTTGTTTTTTTAATTGATTATAAGAATCGTGAGCGATTTGTTAATTAATTTTGTCTTTTTCTAATATTTGTTTAAGATGTGACGAATAAGGGTCTTCAGTACTACCGTATAATAAATCAAAAGGTGTATGTTTTGTAGTAGAATGAACAGATTGATTGTAATTTAATATAACGTCAGTCATTAGGTCAGTAGTAGTGTCTGTTTTTCGAGTCTGTCTTAGCATTCGAAATTTTTCTCCAATGGTACTATGTAATCGTTCAATTGGTGCAATAGAACTAGGATTGCTGGTGATTCCTAAGTGCAAATGTATTTAATGAGCTTTATCTCTCTCTCTTTTATCTTTAATAACTTCTGAACGTAATTCTCCATAATCGGCATGAAGTGATTTTGGAAATCCATGATGTGAAAAGAAATGTTTCATTTTAGATAGTATGTCAATGTGATTTCGTGACATGGTCTGATAGGCTTGGGCATATCGACTAAAGTGGTCTATAAAAGTTACATATTTAGTATTTTCAATAGTAAAAATATCTATGAACACTAGTTGGAATGGTTTGTTACTGAAAAATGGGCCTTGGATTGGTTCTTTGTAAGGTTTTCGTTCGTATTTAGCTTTTAAACAGATTTCGCATTTATTCATGATGTCAGTTATAAGGTCTTTAAGTTTTGGTGTATAGTGAGTCTTTTGGAAATGAGAATAAGTTTCATTAATTCCGTTGTGAAATTTATGATGGTACAAAGTTATTTCGTCTTTCATTTCTTGTTTGTCTAAATAAATTGGTTTAAATGCAGCTTTTTCTAGTACAATATGTTTTGCAGAAAAAGATTGTGTCATAATTTTACTAAGTATGGGCAAAAGTTTCTGATCGTCGTACCAAATTCCGTATTTAATATCAGGGGTACAATAATTTTTTATACAATCCAAAATAAATGAGGAACATAAGTGATTAATTAAAGAGCACCTTAGTGCCTTATTCGGAAGTAATTTGATCTTGTTTTTCTTTTTACCTGTTATAAATTCAATTCGGTGAGGATAGGCATAAAAGTTTTTGTCTGAAAATTGAATCGAGTTTGGGTTTCATTCAGGCGAAGTGTGTCTCGTGTTAGTTGATCTGTTGTCTGTTTCGTGAATAGTCATTTCTGATTCGGGTGCGTTCATTGATTCGGTTTCGAGATAATCCTGAACATTTATCTGGATTCGGCTTAAGGCGTCAGCAACTAAATTTGTTTTGCCTTTTTTGTATTTGATTTCGAAACCGTATTCCTCAAGTTTGATTTTCCATCTAATTAATCTCTGGTTTGGTTCTTTTAAATTTGATAACCACACCAAAGGTTTATGATCAGTCTCAATCAGAAATCTATGTCCAAATAAATATGGTCTAATGTGTTTGCATGAATCAATAATGGCTAAGAGTTCTTTTTCAATGGTGGAATAATTTCGTTCAGCAGAGTTTAATGTTCTTGAATGAAAACTGATAGGTCTTCCGTCTTGTGATAAAACACTTCCTATCGCAATATTTGAGGCGTCGGTTGTTAACGTGAACATTTTTGAAAAATCAGGATATTGGAGTACGGGTGAATTAGTGATAGTCTTTCTTGTTACATCAAAAGCTTGAATGTAATCAGGATCTGAAATGTTGATTTACTCGTCTTTCTTTAAACATTTAGTGAAAGGTTTGGTAATTTTGGCAAAGTCTTTAATGAATTTTCTGTAATAGTTGGTTAATCCTAAAAATGATTGAATTTGTTTGATAGTTTTTGGTATTGGAAAATCTTGAATGCATCTGATTTTATCCGGATTTGGTTTAATTCCGTTTGGCGTTATTATATGTCCCAGAAATGGAACGTCTGTTCTTAGGAAATCTGTTTTGTTAAGTTGTATTTTCAATTGATGTTTAATTAAAGCTTGAAATATAGATTTCAAATGAATAAGGTGGTCTTGCAAAATTATTATGTCATCTAAATAGACGAAACATATTTTTCCGATGTAAGGTTTTAAAACAAAATTCATCATTCTTTGGAATGTTGCTGGAGCGTTTTTCAGTCCGAAGGGCATTCGTAAGTATTCATAGTGCCCGTTGTCGACGGTGAAGGCAGCCTTTTCAATTGAGTCTTTGTGCATAGGAATCTGATGGAATCCTTGTGCCAGATCTAACGTTGAAAAATATTTGTCTTTGCCTAAACTCTCTAATATTTCTTCAGTTCGTGGCAAACGATATTTATCTTCGATAGTAATCTCATTTAGTTTGACGAAAATCGGTACAAATCATTTCGGGTGTGTAATCGTTTGAATTTAGATATTTAATAGGTGGAACGATAATTTGTCCATTTTTGATAGGGGATTTTAGAACTTGATTTTTGATTACAGTGTTCGGGACTTTACGTGGTATTTTGTCAGTGTGGCAAATAAAGTTTAAACGATCAATGGATAGCAAATTCTTAGATGTTTGTAAAGTAGCTTGAAATTTTTTTAGATCATAATATCCTAGCAAACAGTCAAAGCGTTCGTGCCAGTCTAAAATGAGAAATTCAATTTCAGTGTTAATGCTATGTTCATTGAACAAAGGAATTCGCAAAGCGTATTCACCGTGTTTAGTACCAATGACAGATTTTATTGAAAAGTGTTTTGGATAAATGTAATCTGGAAAATAATTGAAAGCGATTTGAGTGTTGATCAAAGAGACAGATGCACCACTGTCTATAAGAACTAGCAAATCTAAATTTTGTCAATAAATGTATGGAAAATGTGTGTTCTCATAATTATTGAGATCTAAGTCAATGGGTTTTGATTTGGGGCTTTCGGAAAATTTTGAGTTGTCTCTTCAGGGGGAAACTCGACAGTAGGGTTACTATCTGAATCTTCATATTCTTGTTGGTCATAATTTTCATAATTTGGATCATAGTATTGCTGTTCACCGTATTCTTGTTCGTTTTGTGATTGTTCGGTCGCTTCGGTGTTGGTTAGTTCTCCAGCGATAAAATTTGGTCTTTGTCCGTGATTTGAGAAAAAGTTAGGACGGTATTGATTCTGTTGTTGCGAGGGGCGGTTCGTAATAGTTGATGTAGACATGGGTGTCGGTTTAAAGTTTTTTGGTGGACCTTGTCTATTTTGTGGATAGAAATTAGGCTGTCGTGGTTGAATTTGGCTTTGAAATTGATTATTAAAATGATTTGGTCTGATGTTAATCGGGCCAGTTGGGAAGTTAGATCGTTGTGGCTGTTGGTAAAATTGCGGATTGTAAAATTGTTGGTTTGAAGGGAATCGCCACATAGGTGTATTTTGAACGGTATTTGTAGGTTTCGGTTTTTGAATAGCGTTAGTATTTTTGGCATTTTGTTTAGTAAATACTTTGCATTACGATTGTATTTGTAAATTATCGTATTTTCGACAAATTTGTAAGGCAGCTTGAAGAGTTGTAGGTGTTGCGTTAAATAGGAGTGATTTATATGGTTCTTTAATACCAGTTACAAATGAATTTAATGCAGCTTCTGTGTAAAGGTCGACTCTAGATTGAGCAACTACATCAGAACATTCCAAAAGAGCATATTCTTTAAGAATATGTAATTTTTGCAAAATTTCGGTATGAAAATTCATATAGTCTGTGTACTGGGATAAATTTCTAAGTTCATCAAGTAGCATTAATTCGGATTTTGAATCTTTGTAATCTTTGAGAATTTCTTCAAATTCTTGCCAAGTTTGAGGATTATTTCGTTCAACGATAACAGAAGGTTCTCCTTGTAGTTTGGATTTTACGTACGATAAAGCATGAATTTGATATGGGCCATGCAAAGCGGCAACAAATTCTCTAGATTTACGTGAATATACAGATAAATTATTTGATGTTTCAGAAAAAATAGGCACACTATCTTTCAATAGGTTAAATAATATTTATGGATTGTCAGCCATGGTTGTTCTGAATTCCTCTCTAACGTTAGCTTGTTTTTTTACTGGTTGTCTTCTAATGGGTGATCGTTCTCGTACTGGAGATTTACCAAAAGTTTCTTTGACTAAATAGATAAAATGGATTTGGCTTACTCTAGCGTTATGTGAAAAATCAAATTTTTCATAACGGAGACTGCTCTGGTTCTTGTAGCTCTCTGCTTCTCTAGGCTCGTTCTGCAGGGACCTCGGACGTGGCTCTCAGGTTCTCAGATCGTTTCTCTCCTACCTCACAATTATTGGTCACACAGAAGCGACGTAGTTCAGGTCACCTGATGAATCTCGAAGATTTTACTGATGGTTGGCTGGGCTCGTACAAACTTCCAGATGTTTTCCACGAAGGCGTATAACGATCCTGTTCGCAGCGCCAGATAAAGAATGCACACGTCGTATGGTAAAAAATAACAGACTTTATTGCAGGAACGAAGAGTGGTTACAAGTATTGAACAAAATCTGTCTGTGCCTCGATATAATTCTAATCTTTATAGGAAAAATAACAGAGCTGTATCGAAAAAAAAAAGAAGTAAAAAGCAAATATTTCTTAATGGGCTTGCTTGCCATACAATTCAATTTGCCTTGCTCGTTTTTTTTGTGAGTTACTGCTTTTAGTAAATATCCCACATACCATTATGCGTCGAGGTGATTTGCTGTCTTTGCAAAATTACTAAGCCGAGTTTGAATAGCCTTTCTCGCTATTTAGACATATTGAATTAAAAATGAAAAACTGGCATTCTTGTTTCGTAGGTGGGAGTGACCAGGATATAGAACCCCGTAGAAAGAGAATTCGCCGCATAAGTGTTTTCTCATCAGATTCGGATCACAGCGATGTTAATCAGGGTAATATCGTAGAGGTCGATGTTCACAGAGAAGCAGAACTTTCTCCAATACCCTCTGATAGATAGTATAAATAAAATCCTGGGAACTGATCCATCCATGGGATGTGTAGCGATGAAAAAGAAAAAATTAGACTCGAGTGGCCAACACCTGAAAACTGCAGCTCTCTTTTGACAATACCACCGCCATATCCTACATGAATCGTATGGGAGGTGTAAAATATAAGAAATTGTCTGAATTGTCGAAAGCAATCTGGCAGTGGTGTGAGTCTAAATATATATATATATATATATATATATATATATATATATTTGCAACTTATATTGAATCCTCTCGTAATGTGGTAGCTGATTTTGAATCAAGGTCGCTTAATTCAGAAACTGAATACAACTTAAACTCTTTAGCTTTTAAGAACATTGTTCACACTTTTGGCCTAACAGCTAAACAATAAGTGTAAACAATTTATTTCCTGAAAAAAAGATCCAAAATCAATAGCTGTTGATGCTTTTACGATAAGTTGGTCAAATATATTTTTCTATGCATTCTCTCCTTTTTTTTGATAATGAGCACGTTGAATAAAATTATCAAAGATGGGGGGAGGGGATAATGGTGGTCCCTCTGTGGAGGGCACGACCTTGGTACCCAATTTTCAATAAGATTCTCAAGTCAAAATTGGTTTATTTTACTCCTAATAGAAATCTTTTATTATCTCCAAATAGGGAACCACATCCGCTTTGGCCAAAGCTTACCCTGGTATCAAGAATTTTATCAGGGAAGCTCTTGCTCCAAGAAGTACTCACGGAATCAGCTTTAGAAGTAGTTATCTCTTCATTAAATCCTAATACACTGAAACAGAAAAATGTAGCGCTCATTGAGACAAACAATAGTTTATGGTGTCTTCACACAGATATGATTTTTCACATGTCAGTTTTACATTGAGTTAAAATAAAGCATAAAAGGTAAGTATGAATAACAAGCCACACGTATATAAGACTAACATAAAACACACATAAGTGGCAATAGAAGGTAAATGAATAAAGTCCTCATTATAAACAAAAACAACGTCAATTCTTAACTAACTGAGCTGATATATCAGAAGCTCGGTCAAAAGTAGCCTAAAAGAATTTGGGAAGAACGCAATCTATCTCGACATGGTTATATGCCTAAGCAAATACATCAAAAATGTTTGGTTGGCAATTTCTTCACTGAAATGCGAAAGGCTTTCACGGCCATCGTCAAATATTATTTGGTTGGTTTTTGAGTTGTTAGGCCGTCGTAAAACATTTTTTAACTGAGCTTATTAGAAATCAACGCAAAAAATCTTAAATTCATTTTTTTGCTGAAAAATCTCTTCCATCCCTCAACTTTGGAGATCGGTAAAAAAATGAAGTTGTATTTTATTATCCATTTTTTTTAAAACTATTTCATTCCATGTAGAGTAAACTCTGAAAATTTCAGCTTGCTGCGATGAGTGTATCATGTCACATGTCGTTGTTGTGATGTGATAAACGTAAGAAACGCAATAGAATCCTTGCCACCTACAAGTACAGAGCCTATTGTGCTAAGCCGCTCTTTATGGCGATTTACCGACAAATGTGGAAGATAATTTATTTCAACTAACTTTTAAAGAAAATGTTCGAAATGGCCTCCATTATTTTCTATACATAAGCGGCACCTTCTAATAAAATTGTCCTTTAGTCTTTGAAATGAATTTGCGTCTTCCATAATCTTTATTTTTGCTTCATCAATTTTCTGGCGCACAAGGTTGACATTTGTATATTCAGAAGTATAGATTATCCCCTTGTAAAGTCCCCAGATAAAAAAATCTAGAGGATTAAAATCAGGTGACCTTGGAGGCCATCGCATGTGTCCACCTCTACCTATCCAACGCCCAGGAAAGGCACTATCTAAGTAATGCCGTTCATCCCGTGCAAAGTGGCATGGGGCACCATCGCATTGAAAATCCATGCGGCTTCGAACGTCCAAAGGTGCATTCTCTAGCAGCTCATGCACATTGCTTTGCAGAAAAGCAAGATACGACTGACCATTCAGCCTGGCGGACAATTCATATGGTCCATTCAATTTTTTGTTGAATACTCCAGCCCATAAATTAACGCCGAACTGACGTTGAAAGCTGTGTCGGTGAATAGCGTGTGGATTTTCCACGCTCCATGAATGGAAATTGTGCCTGTTGTATATTCCATTTCGGTTAAAGTTGGATTCATATTCATCTGTCCATAAGATTCTATCGAAAAAAGTTTCATCCTCTTCGCACCTTACCAACATATTCTCACAAAATTCAACCATAGTCGCTTGGAAGCAATTCTTGTACTTTTTGTACATGGTAAGGATGCATGTTCTTCGAGCATAGTATTGTGTGCACTGAAGTATGGGATATGTTTATGCTTCTGACAATGGCTCTGGTGCTTATAGAGGGATCTCTCTCGGTTGCTTCTATTATATCTTCTATTTCTTCTGGGCGTATTATCGGCGATCCTAGCTGACGATGAGTGCCTAGTATGCGGCCCTCCATATACGCATTATGGACGCGTCGAAAATTTTTTCCAAAAAGATCCTCATAAATCCAGTTTTTGATCGACCTACCATGTGATCTTATCCACATTTTACAAAATCAAATTTTCGCACTCCTCATGATGACAGCATAGAATATCGAAAGCTTGAGTTGTAACTTAAAAGAGTACACTTTGCATAATATGTTGATTTCCCTAAAGACGAGTCTCCAACTTAGCTACATATATATTTTTCATTTCATTAGAAAGAAAATTCTTTTGAATATCTCTTAGAAAATGTTAGGTCGGCGAAAGTGTTACCTCGCATTACCTAGCATCAAAGATTAGATCGAGAAAAGTTAGCCATACACGAATTGAGGTGTTTTAGTATGGGAGTGAAAGCCCACGGAGTTTCTAAATTCATTCTTTCTGTGTAGAAAATATCGGTTCAACTGATTAAGTTAAACTGATTCAAAATTCAGTTCTAAGATTTATCCCACACAGACTAACATACCCACAAACAGGTCAAGATAAATAAAAGCTTGTAATAAATCACTTGACTGATGTACGTTGGTGGTGGAGATCTAACATTGCATCAACAACTACTAACCGTTACCTGTAACTGGTCCTTTACGATGAACTAGGAAATCCCAATATGTCTTGGGATTCAGAATTATTTGTAGAAATTCCAAACCGATATGCTCATTTAATAGGAACGCCGCTCCCATGAATGAAACGTGATCGTACATCATTTCACCAACTGGTAGTGCTTTTATGACTGGTATGCCTGAAAATTAAACAAATAATGAATGAAAGCATATAAATCATTTTACATAATGAGAAAATGGCGAACAGTTTTTGTTATGTGTGCGGAGAGCTAACTTTTAAATCCCAAAAACGTACTTTTACTCCCCTTGTGTTGAAAGCACACGAACTTTATTCTGGAATTATAGTTGGCGACCAAGATCAACTATGGGCCCCTCATATACGTTGTAAGACTTGTGTAACGTTGTTAACAGGTTGGTTAAGAGGCGGTACCAATAGTTTGGAGAGAACCGAGAGACTATACTACTGATTGCTATTTTTGCCTCACAAATATTAAAGGTATTGGACCAAAATCGAAACATACTGTTAAGTATTTTAATTTACCATCAGCTTTGCGGCCTGTTAAACATAGTGATGAACTTTCTGTCCACCAGAATCTTGGTCTTCGGATGAAAAAGTCGAATCCACCGATTCTGAAAGTGATGGTACAGAAAGCGTAAAAATTTCCGATCCTTCGTTTGACCTGCCAGGATGTTCAACAGGGACGCATTTGATCACACAGGGCGAACTTAATGACTTAGTTCGAGAATTAAATCTGTCAAAATCCCATTCAGAACTTTTACCGTCAAGATTAAAAGGATAGAATCTTCTCCACGGTGATGTTAACATTGAAAACGGCAACAAGACCTCACACACTGTTTCCGCCAAGAAAGGGAGTTGATATATTGCTCCGATGTCAACAATTTGCTTGACGCGTTAGAACAGAAACATGATCCAAATGATTGGCGCCTGTTCATTGATTCCTCTAAGCTTAGTTTAAAAGCGGTATTGGTTCACAACGGTAATAAATATCCATCTGTACCCATAGCGCACGCAGTTCATATGAAGGAATCATATGAGAATATGTGAGTTCTGTTAGAGCATATCCGTTGTAATGAATATGAATGAGCCATATGTGCAGATTTAAAGGTAATATTCCTACTTCTTGGAATGCAACTGGGATATACCAAATATTGTTGTTTTCTTTGTGAATGGGACAGTCGTGCGCGAGAAAATTTTGTGAAAGCTATGGATCGAAATGGAAGAGGGTTTCTGCATTTAAAACAAACATTTCCGAGACTTAGTGAGACAAAAATTAAAGAGGGCATATTTGTCGGTCCATGAAGGATTATGTATTTGACAGTGCTCTAAATGAAACTGAATTACGAGCTTGGTATGCTTCTAAATCAGTTAGTGCAAATTTTTTAGGCAATGTGAAGGCCGACAATTATAAAGGTATTGTGAGTGAACTAATTAATGCTTATAAAGGAATCCGATGTAACATGTCTCGAAATATTCACTTTTTGGATTCTCATCTCGAATTTTTTCCGGAAAATTTAGGTGCGGTAAGTGATGAACATGGTTCCACCAAGACATTTCTGCTATGGAAAAATGGTATCAAGGCAGATGGAGTGTCAACTTGCTTGCTGATTATTGCTGTACATTGTTAAGAGATACTTCATAAGCAACATATCACCGTAAAACATTGACAACGACCTTCTGAGATTAATGTTTATTCGAGTGTTTATTGGTACTCTTACACACATATCTTTATATTTTACGAGTATAACCAGCAAATAAAATGCCTTTTGGGTACGTTTTACATAATATCGACGAGATCAAGGAAGTTGCGGCCGAGCAAGAAGAATTAGCGGCATCTGGCGGCCACAGAAACGACCCGATTGACAATGAGAATAGTTCCAACAGACAGCTTGCTGATTTTACTTTCGCAATGGTCGATTCTGACAACAGATGTGTAGATCCTACAAGCATCTTACCAATTTCTTCGAGGTGGCTCTTCGGTCCAATACCCGACAGCATTAGTATCTTAGGTGAATTCATGCCTCCGGCAGACAGAATGACTTCTTTTTTGGCTACTACTGTGTACATTTTACCATTTTTCTTCTACTCAACGCCAGGTTTTATGTAAGCACCTGTACGTATCTTCAAATTCTTTCTCTGTCGAATCGGACGAAGGTAAGAGTTTTCTGCATTGGGTCTCATTCCATTTCGTAGGGTCGCTTGCATATGCGATATCTGTAAAAGAATGTAATCAGTAGGAACACTTTTGAGTCAAAATCGTTTTTTTACGATACGGCTCATGATGTCGATACGAAATACGTTTTGTCTAACCAGGGAGTGTTAGAAGTCATGAATAATCGGTACTCCCAAAAGCACAAAACAAAAATTACCGTCAACGACTTATGGTTAGTCATCCATATGAAACAGCATGAGCCGAAGAGTTTTTGGGACCACTGAAACGACGAAATGTCAACTTTTTTTCGAGAACTATATAAGAACTGAATAGCGAAAAGTGGAACCAAGTAGGTTGCCTCGGTACTCCCCACTACTCTATACTCTTCCCAAGAATCTAATTTTCCACCCTTTTTACATTCAAATTGATGAAGGGTTATTTCTACTATGGCTCAAAATAACCAGGAAGTAGAAAAACATCAAATAACATGTTTTTGCATTTTTTAGATGTTAACCTCATGAGCTTTTGTACTGCGTCAAAAAATAATCAGCAATTTCGAAAGCATTCAAGAAATTAAGATTGTTGACTGTCTCAAATTTCCTTTTTTACTTCTTCCTGTACCTCCACCAACGAAAGCATTAAGGTGCTCTACAACTGCCATAGAATAGCTCTGTGCCTAAATTGTACTGTAACCCGAGCAGTATCTTCTTAACTATAGAGATGCCGATTTTTTGCCATTATGCTGTTTTTTTTGACATTATGTAGGTTTTTCTACAAGATGTTAACTTAGTACCTAGTTGTACGTGCTGCCTAAACGTCATGAGGCTTGTTATCAGTCCTTGGCTCTGATGTGATGTAAAATCTGCTTCTGAGATGGCATTACTGAAGGTCTAAGCTGTAAGTTGTATGTGTTGTTGATAATTACATTGGGTTCTTGTCTCAAATACACTTGATTGAGATTCAAAGCTAGAAATTAGTTGCGCATCCACTTTTTCTTATCCATTCTGGAAATTGCATATACAAATTTGCTGAATTTCAACAATGAGAGAAATAATTATATTCACTGTACACTGTCGAATTACAAGTCATATACAAGCTAACAGTAATTACACACAACGCGGGCGTGGTGATGACTTCTCGTAATTCTCCTCAGTTTTTCGTAATTTATAACTTTGAACATAACCTCTCTTCAGAAAGCACAACATAAAAATAACCCGTCGGCCACAGCCAATAGATATACTTCATTGGCAGCATATTCAGTAATGATTTTCTCACACAGCAAATATAACTGATTTTATACACATGCAGACCCATACATATAATCATCCAGATGCGATCTTGCTATCCAACCAACTTTCTTCTCAGAGATGAAAACTGCAGACACGGATCTCTCAACCTCACAAAACTGTGCAACCAATAATGCGTGTAGTTTAGTTGAGGGATTTCTCCACAGATGGACGTTCACAATGATCCTAGTGAGCAAACGTGGAATGACTATTTGCGCCCTAAAAACGTTTTGTAGGTTTTTTACATGATACCCGTGCGGGTTATATTGGTGCTCAATATGCTGCCGTGCGTGCTCGTAAAATTCAAACGTCTAACAAATATTTCATATATTCTGTAAAAACATTTTATTTTATAAGGCTCCGATTCCAATATAAACTGAAAATAAAGATCTTACCCCTATTTGCTGCTTGCCATTGTAGTCGACGTAGGGGTAGCCAGCTTGTTGTGCCTCTATGTAAACATCTGTCAATTTGGTTCTGTAAGGAACACTGCTAACACCCGGTGGTCCTCCTGTTCCGTGATATTAAGAATCGTTCCATGCTACATTTGAGGCTTCTTTTAATTTGCAGAAGTAAGGCAGCACATCTTTATACCCTCAACCAGGATTACCCATTTCTTCCCACTTATTATAATCCCACTCATTGCCTCTGACAAATATTATAAAATTGATGATAGAGCCTCCTCCTAAACCTTTTCCGTGGCCATGACTCACTGCTTTGTCCAAACATCCTAAGACCCGTTTTGCAATTGTAGTGTGACTTCAGTGAACATGAGATTAATTGGAAAATAAATAAAATAAAAAATAACATGCTTAAAAACAAGCTTTGTTGGCTGTTCGAAAAACGGACTAAACATTTAAAATAATTTTTAACAATTTGAATATTTTTTCGGAGAAACTAGATAGATGAAAATGTAACTAGCTATAAGCAGTCTCACCTGAGACTGGGGCTGGCACCGACTATCACGAAATCGAATTATTCAGGTGTCTCTTTAGGTGGAAATTCTGAAGAAGATAAAATATTAATTTTTGACAGGGGAAAGCTCTTAAAACCACACAGATGTTAATAATAATTAAATACTATTCACAACTAATTTAAATTTAGCAATAAGTTTTTATTTCTCAAAATTAATATTGTGAATACCTTATAGTACACATGGGACTTTCGACTTACCATCGTGTCGTTCGTACGAAGTGTTCACGGTTGAAATTACTGCAGCTCCATCTATAATTCCAGTAGTTAATTCGAGGAGTTGCTTCAAATCCTTTACCGGGATATGGGACAAAAGTGCTGTAATTCCCGCTGCTATTAAGGCACGGGGTAAAAACATCTAAATAGGAAAAAATAGCGTCAGGTAGCTCCTTGCACAGTAATTATCTCGTGTGACATTTCATCAAAATCTGAGTGGTACTTTCCAAGCTGTAGACCAGCGTTTCCCAACCGTTTTTTTTGCTGAGGCTCCCAGGACTATAAATTATATTTTCATGCCCCCGTTTACTTTTTCAATAAATACAAAAAAACGCACATTACATAGGTGCATATTTTCATTTTAATTCTAATAAAGAAACTTTAACAGTTTAAATGAACTAATAAATGTTTTTTTATCGAAAAACTTGAATAAAATAAGAGTAGGTACTAATGAGACACTTGAGATTGCATGTTCTGTGCCAGATTCTAGGTTCTGTTTTTGCCAGAGCTATCATCAGGTCGCTATCGACATCAAGACGATCTCGCTGTGTAGTTTTGATAAAGGAAGATGAAGGAACTAGTATTCGTAAAGCAAGAGAGGCAAGTGACGAATTAACAGGCAATCTTTTGATCCAAAATTTCTCCAAGGTTAAAAGATGGAAGTCATCTTCCATGGACGAATCAGCCTTCATTTCTAGAAATTTCTTCCTGGACCTCTTCTGGTAATTGTGACACATCCACAACAAATGGATCTCTTGTCATGTGCCATATTGGTGACTCTGAATTGATGTCTCGATATTATCAGCAAAATTCGTCTTTCAGCGCTTGCAAATGAGTTTTTGTCAGCTTTTAAATTTGCGTCCAGTATGTTATTTTTAATTGCTTCGAACAGCCGAGAAAAAGATATAACATTTCCAGAAGACACTTTTTAATTCCAAAGTTGAAGCTTTGATATGGACCCCTGCATATAATCATAATTGCTTATTATAGTGTTGTTTCTGCCCTGAGTTTCAAGTTTAGCTCGTTCAAGGAGTCAATATGTCAGTTAAATATGACAACCTCCATTGAAATGTGTCATCTTTGAACATTGTCAAGAAATCGTGTTTTTCTTTGAACTCAAGAAAAATAATTACATCTTCCTTCAGTTCATAAAGGTGAGCCAACACGTTGCCTTTGGACTGCCGGCGTACTTCTGTATGGAACAGAAGAACTTCATGATCAGAATCGAGATCCTCGTAAAGTAAAGTAAATAACCGACTGTTCAAAGCGTTGCTCTTGATGTAGTTTACAATCCTTATAGCCGAGTCCAAAGTCTAGCGTAATTTCTGTGGCAATGTTTTGGAAGCCAAAGCTTGCCGATGAATAACACAATGTGTACTAACACAGGTGCGCCATCTGTGCAAAGTCCAATGAGTTTCTTGCAATCCAAATCATTTGATATTGAATTAATTATATCTTCAGATGTAAATAGTACCTTCTGTCAAAGATTGGGAGTATAAAATCTCTTCTTGAATGATATCTCCGACGATGTAACGAACATAAACTATTAGCTGTGCACAATTAACGATGTCGGTGGATTCATCGCAACTAATGGCAAAAAATGGCGATACTTTTACTTTGTTAATTATTTGTTACTTTATGTCTGCTGCAATGTCATCGATTCTACGCTTGACTGTGTTATTCGAAAGAGAAATAGACTTTTTTTAGGACATATGGTTTTATTAATTCTTCACCGATAGTATGAGGTTTCTTTTGCTTTGCTATCATAAAAGCTATTTCAAATGAAGCTTTGAGATGCTGCGACAAACCAGTGTGATAACTTCCCGATTTATCCAGTCTCATCCGCTTGAGTAATTCTGCTTTAGAAAAAAAAACCTTTGGTTTTCAAAACCAGAGTAGCATGTTGTTGCTTCAAATGCCTCATGCATATCACACACTGAGGCAATTGTTACTCGTCTTCTTCTATGAAGGTAAAACCAAACTTAACGTAATCTTCGGAAAAATTTCTTTTTTTCGCTGCCATTTTGCACCTATAATAATAAAACAAATAAATAATAAATGAATAAGCAAAATACCTACATGTAATTACTAATTATATGGCTTAGCTTAATAACGTAATGTATTCAACAGTATATTGGCCATCGGGAGCTTTATACTTTTGTAGGCAGGTAAACGTTATAATAGTAATTTTAAATACATCTGGAATCAATATTAGGTTCGTCGTTTCAAAATTATTTCGCCACGTTGCGTTGTTTTGATTGTGATGTGGTAAAAAAGTCTCAATGGTCGATATAGGAACGCGTCTCCACTCAATCAACAATTTAGTAAATTAGATAAAAATGGTAACTGAAGTTTGTAAATACACAAACTTACCTTTTAACAGTGAGACACAATAATTTGACACACTCAAACAGTTTCTAAACAAAACAAGTACATCGAAACGTCAAATTTTTTGCAAGTTTGTGGGAATTACTGTCACAGATGCTCATTCGCGTCTGGTAGGTACACAATAATATTGTTTTCTAAGTGATGAATGTAAAGCGGAGTGCGGCGGGGGTGCGCACGGATTTCATGTTGTGACTTGTCAAAACTTGTATAAACTGCGATTGACGACGCCGGGCTTTGAAACAGCGGTTGACAGAATAAGTGAATATGATATTTAACTTCTAATTTTATGCGTGTAAATTTAACATTACATTGTAATGTTATTTGCTAATGTTGTTTGTTAATTTTTTTTTATTTTTCTTTCTAAAATGCAAACGCTTTTCGCCCCCCTTGACGTCTCTCTATGCCCCCTTGGGAGGCGCGCCGCCCTGGTTGGGAACTCCTATTATAGACGGACCAAGGATTAGCAAAACATGCTTTTTCGTGATGTACATATCATATGACATCCAAAAAACATAGTATCTCATTTCTCAGAAAGCATTCATAGATGTTTAAACGTTTTCTACAAAATTCTAAGGAAAACATGGCGTCAGGTAGGTTGACTCTATACTTCTCACACCTTCGAAACTAGTACAATTTTCTATGTAGTGAAATGACATCTAAGAATCGGTAATGCACTGACACACACTGACGCTGTTTGAAAAGTCACCACAATACACCTGCATTAGAACAAATTTCCAGCTAATCTCAGAAACGTCAGCATTACTAGTTTTTAATGTCAATTACGAAAATTATTACTTAAAAAATGTTTCTACAGCGTCTGATATTTGGGTATTATGGCGAGTGAAGAAACATAGCTTAGATTTCTCACATGACAGCGTAAAGCCATTCTGGTTGAACCACTGGTTGTATTGATGCATGGCACTATCCAGAATATCTGTACAGATTGATAAGGCACGGTTTTCTATATAGATGCAGATGTCGTCAGCGTATTGTATAATTTTGGAACTTGGATTAACTGTTTGTAGGTCAGCAGTGTACATATATATATTGAAAATGATAGGACTGAGGACTGCAAATTGCGGCAGGCCAGCAAAACTATAACGTGGTCCTATTTTTTTGTTTGTATTATCTCTTACAAAAACTGCTCTATTGTGATATAAGTTAATTATGATGTAGCACAAATGAGGAGGGAGCCCGTATATTTCCAATTTTGTTCTCAGCAGTTTTAAGTCGATCTGGTCATAAGCACATTGTAAATCTAAAAATAATGCTGCCAGATAATTATTGTCAGAAAAGCAACCTTGAATGTCACTAACAATAACAGCTAAGGCATCGGTAGTACCTAGACCTTTCCTAAAGGCAAACTGTTGATTTGGTAAGGGATGAAAACGCAGCCACCATTCCAACCTATTTTTTATCATCCTCTCAAAGGTTTTGAGAATGCAGGACAGGAGAGAAATAGGACGATAAGAATCTGCAAGATGACAGTTTTTATTGGGCTTTGGTATCGGAACCACGACGATTTTTTTCCACTCCTCAATGATCTCACCTCTTAAAAAAAAGTCATTGAATATTTCTAGAAGGTAATCCTTAGCATTCGATGGAAGGTTACTGAGCATCGGGTAGCGGATTTCATCATATCCAGGGCATGAGTTTATTGATTTACTAATGGCACATTCCAATTCAGCTTCACAAAAATGAATACTGAAAAGGTAACTTTGCTGTACTGGGGGTGGTGTTCCCATATATGGACTGACAAAAGATGGTGCACATTTTTGATGAAATTCGTCTAACCATGTAAAATCAGTGCATTTAGGTTGTGCATCTGGAATTCTTTTAATTATACGAACTTTTTTCTAGAGTTCAGTTGTTGACGTATTTTTATCTAGATTCGATACCCATTTTATCCAGTTGTTTTTAGATTTACGCTTGAAAAGATTTTTTGTCTCCGCAAATATTTTTTTACATTCAATATAATTTTCGAGACTGCTATTCTGATTATATAGCCACAGCGCCTGTTTCCTCTTGTCTATTGCATCGGTACACTCTTGATCCCACCATGGTGGGGGAGCTTTGTTAAATATACGAAAGGGTTTACAGACAGGAATAGATATATCACTTGCTTCATTGATTTTTTCCAGGAAGTACTTATATTTATTTTCCGCTGATTCAAAATTCGGGGGGTTGTCAAATCTATTATTCAACAGCTCTCGGTATTTAGACCAATTAGCCTTATTCACATTCCATTTATATTTGGGATAAATTATGTTCTGTGATTGTACGGAAACAAGTAAATTAATACAAATGACGTAATGATCGGACCCAAGAGTATCATTTGAAATTTGAGCGATATCTGGAGTGCATATGGTTAGATTAGGCGTTGAAGCCTGAAAGTTAGGGGCAGCAATTCTTGTTGGGGACCAGAATTCAGAATGACTAAGTTTGACTCCTCACATAATTCCAAAATCTGTCGACCTGTATGATCCCCAAATAGCTGAATGGGCGTTAAAATCTCCGCCAATAACCACTGAACCAGAAGCTTTAGTGATTATAGCTTCCCAGTCGGATAACGTTGAGTGTACGTTAGGTGGCTTGTAAAGGGAAACAAATGAAATGTGATCATTCCCACTAGATATGCGACAATTGCAGACCATAATGCCATTGTTAAAAGATCCATCAAAGTCAGTATGAGAGTATGTAATTCCTTGTCTAACGAGAATAGCTACACCAGCCTTACCATCGCGCCTGTCCATACGGACTGCGCTGTAACCCTTAAACTTAACCGTTTGATTAGGCTTGAACCAGGTCTCGCTTATTAGAGCAATATCAATATTATTGTGTGAAAGAAAATGAGAGAGACTATTTTTATTCGAAATAGCGGATCGTGCATTCCACTGCATAATTTTAAGCATTTTAGTTATTTACTTAGGTATGTTAGCTTGGTATGGCAACTGTTGGTTTATATTGCTGACAATACTTCCTATTCTATCTCTCAATGTATCTTCGCCTATGTTTTGTATTTCTTCAAAAGTTTTGAAAGTATTCAAAACCTGGTTGAAGATTTTCATAAATTTTTCAATAGTGTCCTTTTCACTACCAACATTGGACCGATATGTTTAACTCGAAATTACAGGATACTCTGGGCCGCTACTGAAATGGAACATTTCACCTGGGAATCTTACTGGGGGTGTATTCATTTTCCGTTTTTTGTTGGCTTCTGACATAGGCGTTACAGATATTTTATTTGTAGAGTATTGACGCCTTTGCGAAGATGTATTAGAAGTAGTAGATGATCTTGATGTATTAGGTAGTACCGGAAAATTCGACTGATCCATATTTAACAAAGGTTGAAAGCGATTATCATTGATTACGCAACTAGCATATGAACCAGTCATTTTATCCTTGGCTTCCATAAATGACAGATTTGAGTTGGCCATGTTTTTTTTAATTTTTTGTTGTTCCTGAAATACAGGACAGGTTTTGGAAATACTAGTGTGGTTGACTGACTTGCAATGAATACAATAGCTATTGGTTTCGAGACAGGAGTGATTTTCATCTTTGGATTGACCACATGTCATACACCTAGAAGTCGAGCTACGGCACTGGGTTGATACATGCAGTGGCGGCTCGTGCCAATTCAGTGAGGTAGTGCCAGAATGGAAGCCATAATTTTGAATCGGTTCAAAATTGTAAAGAATAACTTATAACTTACCCCTGATAGTTAGTGGTCAAAGTTCTTGAGGTTCAATAAATCTATATGTCCTATAACTTCAAAGTTTTCTATATATGAAGTCCATTCTTCTTTCTTTTTTGGTAGCAAAGTTTTCGATTACCTTATTATTAAAATTTTCAGTGCCACTAACAAAATGTTTCTCTGCAGACAGCATTCCTAAAGCACTAAGCCTTTCTTCCTTCATTGTGTTTCTGAGGAAAGTTTTAATCCGTTTCAGCATTGAAAAAGAGCGTTCTGCTTCAGATGTTGACATCGGTATAG